CAGTTATAGGGAAATGAGGGTGAGCTTATCTGCGAATGGAATGTACCTTGGGGTGTCTCAAGAGGACGTTGATGGCTTCCTCAAAGTATTCCAGATCCACCTCAAGTAGAATCTCAGGCAGGTCTTCATAACCAAAGTACGCTAGGGCAAGCGCAGCGAAACCACGACTGGCGAGAAGACTGGCTCGAAATTCAATGAGTCCACCCACACCGCCGAACAGGTCAATCAGCCCTGGGAAAGGACCTTCTCCTAAGGAGATGAACAAGAAACCAGAATGAATGATTCTGTCTGAGAGAGGCAAAGTTGGGAGTCCTTCCTAACACCTCACAGGACTCAGATTTATAGACGTTAGGGGCTGGGGGAGACCTTACAGGAGCATTGAGTCCAGCCCCCACTGCACTTGAGCAGGAAAGTCTTTCCGTTCTTACCCCATGAAGGCAATTACTGGAATTGGAGATTAATTCTTCTATATGCGAGACAGTATCAGAGAATTATCTAGAAACCAAGGACAAGAACTACTGTACTGTACTTTACTGTACTGTAAAGTGGAGCACAGCAGAGATTAATTTAGTTCCCTGCTACACTCTCATCCACCAGCTCTACCCTGATGCAAACAAGGCTCTTCTATATTAGAGCGTGATAATGTGTGTGACTGAGTCTCCACCTTGATGGCTCTGCCCTTTCTAACTCCAAACTGGATAAAAAAGACCCAAGGACCATTATGCCACACCTTCTTCTGTAAATATTATTGTCATCATTTAGATTTATATCCCAACCTTTCTAGGAAGATTCACAGCAGCCTCAAGCAACCCACAATATAAAGAAACAGCAACAGACTCCCCAATCAATACCCTAAAACTACAGATTCCTCCTTGCAGTACAGTTTATTTCATTAAATCATAGAATGTATTCTAAGAGATACCCTGCTTGCCACAGATAAATTGCAGTGAATGGCATCTGTGCTACCACTCGGTCAGCTTTAGTTCTCCAAAAGATTTTTTCATTTGACATCTACTGAGCTTGGCCAACAAACACTCCAAATTTCAGCTTCCTGTTTCCTATTTACAGCACTCGCCTTAATCGTGCTCTAACCCCATAATCCCCTCTTCCAAAGCACCTTTATGTCTGAAAAAAAACCAAGTTGAGCATTCAACAAGAGAGACCTACCATTGGCTCCCAGCTGTGGACAAACCAGGGAACTCTGCTAAATGTAAGTAATTTGTTTCATAATACCCAAAGGATTCAATCAGGTCTGTGCCTTTGCTGCCAGTACAAAGCCACAAATGCAGAGTTAGAATTAGTCCTTGCCTACTACAGTTGAGAGAGTTGCGCTGTCTCAACACATAATGCAATAAAACCAAATCCAGGGAAGCTCCCAGATTTGTTCTCTGGTGGTGCATGTAAAAGCTTTTTATGTTGCTGCTGAATGTTAAAGGCAGAATTCTAGAGGAGAAAAGCCTTTCCTCGGATTTCTATTATTTAATTTATTGGCAATCGAGGCTGCAGACAGTCCTGTGATTAGGCCATGAACTTCATAATTTTCCTAATGATGTAGAGCTTCCTTGTAAAATTAGAACATGCTACTGTACACCATACATGGCCAATCTACAGCATGGGTGCCACAAGAGGCACGGGCAGCCTGTGTGTGTGATACATGGCAAACTGAGGAGGAGACAGGCAACAGACTGGCAAATAAGGCACAGAGCAGAAAGCATAGTAGCAAATCAGATGGGGGGGGGGAAGGAATCAGGATGGCACTCAGGGAAGGTATGGGGCTAATCTGATACATGCTTGGCCCCCACTGGTCTACACCATCAACTTGATACACACACACACACACACACACACACGGAACTGGGATAAAAGAAACAAAGGGAACTGGGTGAAAACAGCAAGGGAAAGTGAGAGGAGTCACTTGGGATTTTGAACAAAGACACTGCCATGTGTGTATGTTTGCACTCCTGACCTGTGAACTTGTTTTTATCACAGCTTCTGGAGTTCACTGGCAGGGTTATATGTAGCCCCTGCAAACTTTAAGCAAGCCCTAGAAATTTCCAGACTAGGATTTTGAGCTCCTCAACAGGAGTATTCTCAGTTGAAAATGCATCCCAAAAGACATACTTATCTAGTCGAGTAACATCACCTCACGAGATCCATGACTCCAGTCTCAGCTACCCAGCAAAGTTCAGGTTTTGAACATTCATAATAAACTTACTGTGGTCAAACTACTGGGGTACTGGCCAGGAGTCATTAGGAGAAACTATTAGGCAAATAATTTGCCATGACAACAAATAATTTGACATAACGTAATTTGGAGAAGCTTGTCATCGGTAGACAGACATTTCCTGACCCATAAAATCAATATGTAGGCTGGATTCATTAAGCTGTGGAAATGAGATGGAGGTCTTTCACCTGGTGGGAGGAAGAGGGCCCCACGCACCCTGCCGTCCCTGATCAGGATTCGTTGGACTCCCGGTGCCACATGCCATCTTTCCACAGTCTGGCTTGTCACAGGCTGATCACAGGGTGTGGAAACCAAGTGGAATGAGCTGAACAAATCCAGGCGCACGTGGAATGGACTCTGCATCACATCTCGTTTCATCAACCTGTGAAACATCTTTTCCGGTTTCAAGAACTGGAAGAGACCCATGGGGTGCACGCCAGCATAATCTCCTCCCAGAGCAGCAGCTTGCTCCAAATCAACCTCACCAGACTCACTGGACTGGTAGAAAGCTCTGGACTGGAAGAGCACCCCCTTCTCATCTGTCAAAGAGGCTTGGAGGGTCACCAGCTTAAAGGGAGCCAAACCAGAGACATGGATTTTCACTGGTTCATCAACAAGGGATGTCCTTGGGGTGACTGTGAGCTTAGCCATTGCCAAAGCAGAGCTCTAGTAGGAAGCACAAGATAAAGGAGACAGAGAAAGTGAAATTGGGAACATCAAACATGACACAATGTGCTGAACTGTGAGATAACGGTAGATGTACCTTACTAAATCAGGTCATCCAGTCCCTCAGGACAAGCTTCCCATGATTCTTGTCAAAGCTGGCTTAGTTGCAAGAACATAGGGAACATAGCTTGAAATTTTGTTTTTTGTTTTAGGAAACTTCAGCCCAGAGGGAATGTTCAATGATAAAATAAGATGCTCAGCTGCCAGCTCCCTCCTTGGAAAGGCTTATACTGCAACTAATATTTAACCGCAGTGGCCCTGGAGTTGCAAGGGCTAAACTTCCCAGGATTTACAGCAGAAGGGTTTGAGAGCCCACTGAATGGGACCAACTGTACCTCCTTTATTTCACTGGCACACCTAAACTGGTTCAGTAAAACTGCCATAATGTCTTCCATACAAGGCCCCTGGAGTCACAAGCATTCATGCATTTGGTCTTGGCACTCCTGTGACAGATGGCACTATCACCAGAGAGCACTTTATGTTAGCGCAGAAGGCACTAGTGCAAAAGGGGAACTTTTCTGTTCCTTACCTGCTGTGCTGCCTCCAATGGGATGCGCTAATGCCTGAAAGCAGTCATCTCAGTCCGTTAGTTTTTGGTCATATTCCAAAATGTGTATGCATACCAGCACTGGTATTTCTACGTCTGTGTTCATCAGGTAAAGACAGAGCACCTAAATGACTCAGCCAAAACTATGCCACAGAACCGGAACAGGACGAATCTACTTCTGCCTCTCTATCTTTGTTAAGTCTTAATTAAGACGGGGAGGTTCCTGTTCTGGCAACCTGAACAAATTCCCCCTGGCCAGAGCCAACTCTCTCTCTCTCTCTCTCTCTCCAGAAGGGGTTCAATGTGTCCTTTCTCTCCCTCTAATCATAGTATGTTCATAGCTTTTTTGCCCCCTTTCTCTTCCCCTCTCCTGCCTTTGCAGACAGCAGAGGAGCGCCAGGTCCCTGCCAACACAGGGACAGGTTTTTAAAGGTGCTACAGCTCCAGAGGTGCAGCTAGCGTCGATTTCAGTAGGTATTCTGGCTCCTGGGCACCTCAGAAAATCCTACTAGGAAAATCTTTGCATTTTTAGGTCGCTGAATACCTCGCACAAATCTGGCCCTCCACACCCCACTGGAGCAGATGTGCTGTCCAGTTCCTACCTTTGCCTTCCACTCTTCACAAACAGCTCTGACTCCTATGTTCAAAAACCCTCAAGCCTGATCTGGTCTCATTACAAGTTAGTCCAGCTCCTCCTCCCCACAACATCCTTTTTTTTTTGTTCTTTGAAAGAAAATTTTCATGTTCCAAGCCAAATCAAGTTCAAATCCATGAGTCAGTCCAGAACCATAAGTGACCCTACAACCAACAAACATCCTCTGCCCCCACCAGTGGCTTCAGATATTTCTGAAGTCTTTTGGCAGGCATCATATGTGCAGGCCCAAGCCCGGAGGCTTGGGGTTCAGATGCCCCCGAGTTTTGCCTGCCCTCAGGCATATGGCTGCAGAAGCAAGCTATGGAGGAACCTCTCATTTCCATAAAGTGGGCTTTAAGCCCCAGCACCTCAGCGGGTACTAAACCACGCCAGAAGAACAGTTATCTGTGAGTATGGTTAAGGAAAAGTGCCTTCCTGGCCCCAGATACATGGTGTTTCCCCTGCCAGGTAAAGTAAGCTTACCACAAGGATAGGTTAGAGCAGCCCATCTGAATAAGAGTTAACTATGTCAGGCTGAGGGGCAGCTCTGCAACATCAGGAACACCCTACCTACCTGAGGACTCCAGGTTGCTCTCAAGTCAGAGAGGGTCAAGCTGCTTCTGAGCAAATGGGGGAAAGGCTACCACACCAGCAGAGGCAAACTCCTCCTATTTGCCATACTGCCTTCCAAACTCCTCTCCCTTTTCCATAGTTCAGTTTCCTCCCTTCTGCCACTTGAACAGAAGGAAAGCAGGACACAATAGGGCAAGTAACAAAAATAGGAGGGTCAGAACAGGAACAGATAAATGTATTGGATAAGAGGCTATTAAGAGGCCTGTAACCCTTTCCTTGCCAAGTAGATGCAAGTAGTAATTTTGCAGGGCAAAGAGTGTACACTGTTCCTGAGAGCTTTTCAGCAAAGATCAGCAGTGTTGCAACCGCCTACACTTCTGCCAGAGGTCAGGAAGCAGAGCATAAAGAGGGTGAATTGAGAGGACCATGTGTACTTAACCATGTAGTATAGAACACAATGCCAAGATCTAAGCAGTTAAATAATAACCCATTGGGTTACAGAGTGCAATAAGTGAAACAAGCTTTCGCAGTACTGGCAAGGATCCATGATCGCTTGCTGATGGATCCTTCTATCCCTTGGTTCTGATACCTCCTAGGATTGCTCTGAACGTCCCCTTTTATCTCTTTCCTTACATGCTTTTCCCTCAACTAACCATGACATTCATGTCAATGTTAGCGCATTAACAAACCCTCTTATTTCAACAGGATTCTAGCTCACTTCATACAATTCACTTCTTTTAACATAAAAAACCAGAACATCAAATTACTACAGGCAATAGTCTTAAATACTCTAAGTACTTTCCAAAATGCAGCCATTAGCTGCAGCCATAACTTAGAGCTGCAGCCTTAACTAACGATGTCGCAAAGAGCTTTGCTATCACCGGGGCTCCTAACAGGTGTGGTGTGAAAGGGGGCTTCAGACCCCTTGCAGCAATTATGGACCTGCCCTTTGTTTTGAATAATCAAGCTAATGTATAGCTCTGGTGGTACACAGAGGAAAGCACTGTGGGCCCCATAAGCTTTAACATACCTCAATCTTTTTAAAACACAGGTTCAATTTTGCAGTTGGCACAATTCAGCCCATCCCTCTGAAAAACTTAATGCTGCTTAGCCCACCTTACATGGGTCTCAGAACAGTCTCAGGCATTTGGGGTTAAAAACCAAAGACCCAGTCCCATGGCAGGAACATTCATTACTGTATAATACTTGTGTAGGATTAAGATTTTCTATTGCATTTTTCTGGCATTCATGTGCCACATACCTGCTGTGCTTTTGCTCACCTCCTCCTAAGGATGGCTTAGTTGTGATAGGAAACCCAGAATTATTTGTACATCATTTACAAAATGTACATTTATAAAGATACCCTTTGAAATAGGAGAAACCTTTTGGGATTTGCTCACTTCCCTATCTGTCCTCATACAAGTTACTTGTAAACTCAATCATAAAGCAAAGACTAGGAGTGCACCAATAAAGATTTTCTTGGCCGATACTGATAGCCACTTATTAACCAACCATATCGGCTTCTGCCAATCTGATAACTAATATTTGGTAATAATCCAAGACATTTTAAATTACTGACATAAATAAACTTTTTTTTGTTTTAAATGTATAACATGCGCAGGAATGAGCTTTAGTTGAAGCGCTTCCACCACCATTTCTAAGCGCAGGGACGCTGATCCAGGAGATGCTGCATCACTTTAATTAAAGCAACTCTTGAAGCCGCCCTAATTAAAGCATTGGGACCCCCACTCCTGGAGCACATGTAAAAATGCCTGTGCCAGTTGCAGCAGGCAAGGCTAGCCTAGAAATACCTGTGACTGCCTGTGCAGAGCCTTTCAGCCCCTGCTCTTTCATGTGATGCCCTTGAACCCAAGCCAATAGCAGCTGCCTGAGCCTGCCCAGTAGGGTTGAAGGGGATGGTGTAAGCCGGGGGTGGGCAAAATGCGGCCCGCCAGACCATTCTATCCGGCCCGTGGGGCCCCTAAAAAAATTTAGAAAATTAATATATATCTGCCCCTGGCTGCCTGTCATGTGGCCCTCGATGGCTTGCTGAAACTCAGTAAGCGGCCCTCTGCCCAAAATAATTGCCCACCCCTGGTGTAAGCCTTCCTGGCTGCCCAGGACTGGGTGGTCTCTGGACCAGGCTCCCTGCTCTCCTTCCCCTGCCCAAGGCAGGTCTGCAGGAGCATTCTAGGCTTGGAGAAACTGGGCGACTCCTTCCCTGCAGCTGGGCCCCAGCTCCTGGGAACTGGACTCCGGTGGGGGAAGGGCCCCTTCCCCTCCTCGTGCTGCTGCTACCAAGGGCAAGGCAAGCCCCTGTCCCATGGGGGAGACTGAATGGACCCGGCTCTGGGTAGGGAAGGACCTGGCTGGACTGAGGTGCTGGGGGAAGGACCCTGCTGTGCACAGCAGTGGGAAGGAGGCAAAGTGGCTGCTTCAGCCCCTCCAGGTTCTGCCCCTGGGGCACAGACCCCCAGGCACTGCAGGTTGAGTCACACTGGGCAGCTGTGCTTGCCCCTCCGCGCCCCAGTCACATCTTTCCGGCATTCAGTGCCTTTTATGGTGCCCACCCTGGGCCCAGCCCGCAATCTGTGCTGTGCCAGTGCCTGTGACACCGCAGCAGCTGCTCCGCTCCAGCCCAGCCCATTGATGAGAGGGTAGCAGTGTATCCAGGGTCACCCTAGTTCATGGGAGGGAACCCAGGCATACGGAGCCCCAGGCCCACAGATGAGACAGAACGCATGCAGCCAGGGACCCCAGCCCCATGGTTTAGAGGGAACCCAGGTTGCCAGGGGCCAGGCCAGAAGGCATAATGATACAGAAAACATTATTGGCTACAATGGCCAAAAAAAAAAAAAAAAAGCCGAAAGCTGATAATGCCATTTCCCTTTTATCGGCGTTGATCCAATAGGCACCTCTATTTAGAACTTCAGCAGGGGCTAAAGGGCTCTGCACAGCCAGTCACAAGCATGGCTAGCCTAGCCCTGCCTGCTGCAACTGGCACAGGCACTTTTATATGTGAACTGGGAGTGTGGAGGCGGTGCTTTAATTAGACCGGCTCTGAGAGGCAGTCTAATTAAAGTGCCACTGCATCTCCTGTATCAGTGTCCCCACACTTAGAAATCACGGTGGGGGCACTTGAACTATAGCTAATTTGTGTGCAGCCTTCTCTTGTGGAGGCTGAACAGGTTCAGGTCCCATAGCCTCTCTTTGTAGGGCCTGCCCTGCTGCCCCGTGACCCTCTCAATGCCGGCCACATCTCTCCTGAAGTGCGGCTCCCAGAACTGGATGCAGTACTCCAACTGCGGCCTAACCAGTGTCGCGTAGAGGGGAAGGATCACCTCCTTGGACCTGCTCGTGATGCATCTGTGGATGCATGACAAGGTGGTTAGCCTTTCTGACCACGTCCTCACATTGGCAGCCCATGTAAATCTTGGAATCAATAACTCCCAAGATCCCTTTCTGCCTCTGTGCCAATGAGAAGGAGTTCCCCAGCCTGTAGGTATGCTGCTGGTTCTCTCTCCCTAGGTGCAGTACCCTGCACTTGTCAGTATTGAATCCCATCCCTATTCTCATCCACCCACCCCTGTAACCTGTCCTGATCTAGTTGTAGCCTGTCCCTCCCTTCTATCATGCACACCTCTCCCCACATTTTAGTGTCATCCGCAAATTTGAACAAGGTGCTTTTTACCCCCTCATCCAAGGCACTGATAAAGATGTTGAACAGGACAGGCCTGAGGACCGAGCCCTGGGGGACTCCACTGCCCACATCCCTCCAGGTTGAAAATGACCCATCCACCACCACTCTCTGGGTGCAGCCCTCCAGCCAATTTGCAACCCATCTGACCACGTAGGCATCAACGCCACAGTCTCCTTCGGGACAAGGATTGGCTCTAAGGACTGGGTCGATTGGGCTGGGGCACGAAGCAGGGCTGGGAGCGAGCCGCGGCTGAACAAGGCACCTACCCCACCTCCTGGTGGGGTGGCAGCAACTATGGATGGAAGCCAGGCCCTTCCTGTGGATTGCCCCAGCTTGTTCTTAGGGACAAGAAAGAAAAAAAAACAGATGGAAATAGGAATTATTTAGGAATCTTAGGGTAATCATACTGGAAATATGGTACATACCATGTTCAGACTAAAGCAGCAAATAACTTTAGTGTACAGCTGTAGCCCTCAACCTTTTTAGACTCAAGGCAACCCTAAGAAAACGTTGGGGTTTTTTTTGTGAAACAATAGTAGAGCAATTTTTCTGCTGCAAAGAACTCAAGAAGGCCACAACAGGTTAAACTGTTTTAAGCATTATGGATTCCTGTTTGAAGTCTCTGGGTTTATATTGTGCATTGTGCTTGCACACACAACAATAGTGCTAACTAGCATTGCGTGGCACCTTGTAGTACCCTTGAAAGGATCTCCAGGCACCTGAGTTGACAATCACTGGCATACGGGATGGGCTGTACCTCAGTGGAATGTGCAATGGACACAGAGCTCCCAGGAGAACCTGAGAAGTTACAGTAAGGTTAGAGTGCTGCTGTAGCTACGACAATCCAAGAAATATTTAAGCAGCAAAGGTTTTTTGGGTGATATCCACACAGTTCAGAAAGAGGTGACACCAATCAGATACATGCTTAAGCAGGTCCACAATGAGCCTTTAAGCTGGGCAACACAGAACAAAACAAAAGCACCCATTTAAACCAGCATTAATATTTCACCACTGACTTATTTTTAATTTTATTACAAACTATTTGTCCTTTTATGCATCTTTTTGATGGGGTACAAAGAGCATAGATTATCACTACCTACCCTTCACACCTACAAGATGAATGAGGAGACCCACTTCCTACTGAACTGAGTGACGATCATATTAAGCAGCCACTCCAGGAACCAGCAAATACAACTGCATGCGAGGGAGGCTCTTTCCTGGATGTTTAATAAGATTGTTAACCTGAAAGTCTTAGTAATACTGTAAAGTGTTCACTTTGGCCATGGTTGTTGGAATTGACTATACAGTAGCCAGCAAAATTCAGTCAGTGTCTTGTATTACCCACAAACCTGTTCTTAGGGGCAACCCAACTACATTTCAAAGGTAGTACAGCCACTTCGAAATTTATTAATCCTGGCAGCACACACACCTGCATCCCCATCCAGAGAAGGCCAACCACGAAGAGGGTTGAATAAGACTTTCCTTACCCCACTTCCAGCATCCGCTGGCTGTGGTGCAAGTGATTAAAATTATGTAGCCGGCACAAACACTGCCCTTACTAACAAGGAGCATATTGGACCTTGCCTCAGCTGACTGTGAGGAGTGCAGAGCCATTATGCAACGTGGATCCTGCTAAATGAAATTTATGGGGACACGAGGAAAGAAAATTCAGAGGTTAGTCCCTCCTGTTAGTAGTTTTATTATAATAAAATGTTGCGTAACAAAAAGGCAGCACCCTTGAAAAATTAAGTCATAAAAGCCAACTTCTGATGGAGCCATCATATGTCAAAATCATCACTGTGTTGCCCCTGCCACGCGAGTCTCCCCTGAGGCCAGGCCAGCCGGCCCCGCTCCCTGCTGGCAGGGCTCAGTACTCCCAAGTGATCTTGAGGTTCGGCGGCAGCTTTGCTGTGCACAGCTCATCGAATTTCGATGCATCCTTGACGGGAGTGCTGTAGAAGTCGAAAACGTCCTGAGCCGTGCGCATCTGGTGGAGCTGTGAGTTGGGGACGGTGTGGCCCAACTCGGCAGCCAGCTGTGCCAGGAGGTGGTACCTGAGCCCAAGATCCCCGAGTGGGGTTTGCTGCCAGTCCGCAGCCAGCGCAGGCCCCGCCAGGGCCTGGACGTGGGCCTTCAGGAGATGGGACAGGTTCTCGGGGGGCACGTACCGCCTGCTGCGCGGTGGCGGGCAGGCCAAGGCGGGCTCCATGTTCTTGACTTCGGTCTCGGCCTCGGCCTCGGCCTCCTGATTCCTGCGGGAACCAGAGGCAGAGCGTGCGGTTGTCACGTCTTCCGCAGGGGCAGGGGCTCCCCGCCCGGTCCCCCAGGGCCTATTGCCCGCCCGCCCGCGCGCCCTCCCCGGTTCTCACCTGCGGCCGCCCCACAACCCCCCGCGCAACGCTGCCACCCGCCGCACCAGCGCCCCCGCCCTCTTGGAGCCGACAGAAAGCCAGCTCCGCCTCCGCCCCCGCCCGGAAGTAGCTGCGCCGCTGCGGTGCACTCTGGGAGAGGCGAGGCGGAGTAGGCTGAGGGAGGGCGTGGGTTGGGGCTCCTATTGCCACAGGAGCTGACCTCCCTCGGCCCGCCCAGTCTCGGTCTGGAGTTGTCCCCCGGTTGCCAATCAATGCCCCCGCCCGTCCTTTTCATTGTGACGTCATGGCTCGTTGTCCGCTCCCTGGCCCGTGCTGAGGTGCCGGCTCCGTTGTGCGCAGGCGCAGCTGTTGCTGGGGGGGCGAGCGCGATGTAGCGCCGGGTGCGGACACATTCGTCCTTCGTGCAACGAGCTCGTGGCACCCTGCGGGGCCTTAGCGTCCTTTCAGAGGCCGCGGGGTGCAGGGCAGGGCATGCTCATGCGCATGAGCCAGTGCTGGCCGGTTTGACGAAGGAGCTGGCGTGTAGGCCAGACTCCGGAGAAGCAGCATCGGGTGTTTGCTCGAAAGCTTGCACGCACTGTTTAGTTGGTCTAAGACGAGACATCACGTTTACCCAAAGAGCCTTGTCCTTAGACAGACGCGCCCTCATCTAGGTCGCAGCCCCCGAGCAGGAGCAATCGCCTGTGTATCAACAGGCTTGTCAGACTTAACTTCAGGACCAAGACCTTGTAAAGGAGGAGCAAACTAACCGGGCTTTATGGCATATGCAAACTGCTTCGCAAGGTGATAAACCTATGTGGTGGCTGGCCTGGTTGGCAGAACAGCCCCATGGCCAGGAATTTTAAGCCCTCAAGGCTGACAAGGAGCCAGTAGTGCGAGGGAAAGGGGTTTATTTGAAAGTGCCCTTGGAGAGGAAGAAAATAAATGCCTGATAGCATAACTATTCCCCCCACCCACCTCCCAGTGACATGGGGTGAAGGAGGAAAGGATGGAAGAGGCTGAAAACAGATACATTTCTGCTAAAGCTTTAACTACAGTTGCTTGGTTCTGTCAGGTCCCTGCTTTCATTACAACTATTTGTCACTACCTCTAAAGCTACACAGGTATTCCTGACATATCTAGAGTGACAAATGGGAAAAAAACCAAAACAGAAACAACAACCTTAAGGAGAAATATCAAAACACTCCTTCCAGCATTCTTCCAACAGAGAGAGACAGAAAGAGCATTATAGACTGCAAGGCAGTAATTCTCAACCTTTTTAGATTCAAGGCACTCTTTGTTAGACTCAAAGCACCCATCAGAAAATGCTAATTTCTAGTTTTCACTTGTTTTTTTACTACAGAAAAATAATACAGCAATTCTTTTGCAAAGAACTCAGACCACAAAAGGGTAGCATATTTTTAACACTATGGATCCCTATTTTAAAATCTTTGGGTTTATCTTATGAATCGTGTTTGCCATATTGGAAGAGATACGTGGGGAAGGGCATGATGGGAAATGGCTCCTACCTGAACTAGACTGGGGTGCTCTGTACAGCGAACATTTGTATCAGGCCAGGCATTCTGCCAGGGGCAGATCCTTAAAACCTGCATGCTCACTCTGAAAGTGTCCCTAACAGAAGTGGTTTGCTGAATTGGGTGCCAAATCAGGGCCATCACTTCCCATTCCACATGCAGTTGATCTGCTCTGACACACAATCCTCTGGGCATCTCAGCTCCCTTAACCTTAACTCCCCAGTACTGCCAGTCCTGAGCCAGGCTGCCTTGTATGATATGAAGAGACGGTCTGAAAATAAAAAAAGCTTTGACTTGCATGCTTTTGTAACTTGCCACCCGCTTTGTTTTCATTTGCATAAATAATCCAGCATCAAACACCCAGCAAACTAAAATGCAGGCGAGCATCCTAACGGCCTGGCAAAAGAATCGTTCTCCTCTGCCTACTCTTTGATACAATAAATGTTTAAGTAGCATATGTATAGTTGAACAACTTAATCCAGAGAGAAGAGAAGCCTCTTACTAAAGTACCTTATTGTAGCTTTTATATGGGAGCAGGGCCATCCCTAGTGGGGTCAAATCAGGGCAACTGCCTTGGGCGGTGCACTTTGGGGGCTCCATGAACAGTGCTGTACAGGTTCTGCTGTTCCAGCTGCTCGCCACCCGCCCCCTGGCACCCATATGGGCTGATATGCCCTGGGCCTTGCACACCCCTAGGGACAATGCCTGGGAGATAGTAGGTTCAAACCCCAGTAGACAAAGGAGTTGAACCTGATTCTAATTCATCATGGGTGAGAGCTATAGCACTGGAAGAAATGAGGACAAATAAGCAAACAGCTTGGTGACAGGTTTTTTTCAGCCAGTATTATTTAGTGAATCTGAGCAGAATTGATAAGCCATTTCAGGATGGCCAACACTTAACATCTGTAGCGATGTGATCAGAGAGCTAAGTGGGATGAGTTCTAGCCTGGAGGTCTTACAAGGAACACTTGAAGGGCTCACTATGAGCACACGTAGCTGCAAATAGTTTCAAAATAGGACATCTAGATGCACTTTTCAACTCAAGGGAAGAGACCAGTCTGGGCCTAGCAGCAGGCCCAGGAGACTGCTCTCTGATTGGTTCCCCTTCATGTTTCATTGGATTGAGTGGGTTTTAGTCACCAGATTTATTCCATAGGTTTGTTACCATTTTGTTGCAAATGTGGCCCAGTGTGCCTAAGTTAAAAAGGCTCTGAGGGAGCTGGGGAATTGGGGGAGGGTTATGGAGAGAAAGAAGTCACCTCAGAGAAGACAGAGAGAGAGAGAGAGTGTGAGTAAGCAGAAGTCTGAGGAAGGACAGGGAAAATGCAGCAGCACAATAAAGGCTGTTGGAAGCAGAAGAGTCTTCTGTGCTGTTTGGGATGTTAGCAGCCTGACCCCTGCCCCCGCATACTTTGAAGAGTATTTTCTCAGGAACTGATCAAAGAAGGAGCTCTTTGATTTTGGGGGTGCTATGCATAGCCAGGGACAGAGGATAACCAGGGTCTTCAAACCAAAGACTTGCTCCTTAAAGAGCCATATCTGGACTAACTTCAGAAGGGTTCTTAAGGAGGGGAGCAGGATAAGGCTTCTTTCTGGGGAGCCCCAAGGCAGAGTTTTCCTTGAAAGGAAATGAACTGTGATGAGTGAAGTTAGTATTCATCAACAAACTTGTGTATAGCTATAGCTTAGATACCACAGTGACTACTGTTCACCATTTCCTGCAAGCATTGGTAGTTTCAACAGAGTAAAGAATTTGACTAACTCACCACAAAACTTACATGAGTCTGAGCTGATGTCACCTGCCATTAACATCAATGCAAACAGGCCAATGTATATCAGCGGTGGAGCTGGTTCTGAGATTGTGATAGTGTTTACACTTCTTTTGTGTTTGCCTTCTACACTGGTCTAATGAATTAGTTTTATGGCAGGAATGATCACAAAAAGGTCACTATAGTCTAATTTTGGAAAATATTTTCAGAAAGCACATTTTCAATTTCTAAACTCAGAACATTTGCTTTGGAAATCCCAATTGTTCCAGTCTGAAAACAGAAATATAGCATTAATGCATTGCTATGTGCCATGTGGCTTGGGTTTGTTCAAAACATCCTTCAACTATCTTATACCAAATACTTCTGTAAGATCAAGAATTATTTGCAGAATAATGTTTGAAGAATAAATATAATTAATTAATACATTTGAGAATGCTGAAAAGCTGCTTACAAAGGATGCTCAGGCCCCTTGTTAGGGCTTCTTGTAGGGCCAGTCAGCAATCACTCCCAGCTTCTCAGAGCACACGCCCCAAGCACACAGCCCACCAAACACACACAGCAAACCAAAGGCAGAGGCAGCTGGATCATTTACCTTCTCTGGACAGGATCTGGTACCAGCTTCTCTCCCCCATCCTCTTCTTGCCCCCAGGAATTGTAATGTAACCCTTGCCGGCACACTAGGCAGGGCGATGTGCCGGATTCTGGATCCTCAGGGTGCCAGTAACCTTGGGACCCCCCCCTCAAGTAGGCCTGTTAACTGAGGTGTCCCTGGGGAGGGTGTCCCTCACTCTCACTGCCCAAGAACCTCACTATAAGCCCCACTGAGAAAAAAGGGATTTTCTTTATTTATATACAACTATATACAAGAAAGGGAAAATGGATTAATAACAGTAACAGGAAATATATATTATCAATAGTAAATTAAAAAGAAATAATAATTGACCATTATATACAAATACAGCATTAAGAAAAGCAGTGGTTGTTACAACTTACAGCAGGGGTGGGCAAAATGCGGCCCGGGGGCTGGATGCGGCCCACCAGGGCATTCTATCCAGCCCGCAGGGCCCTAAAAAATTTAGAAAATTAATATTAATCTGCCCTGGGCTTCCTGTCATGCAGCCCTTGATGGCTTGCCAAAACTCAGTAAGCAGCCCTCTGCCCAAAATAATTGTCTGCCCCGACTTACAGTCAACTCTCTCACTGATTACATTCTCCTGGTCATAAACTTTGAAAGTTTCCCCCTGGGGTTAAACCCCACTCCCCTTGCAAATAAAGAGAAACACGGTTATTGCCGTGGTCCACGGCTAGGTGGTGCAAACATACTCTGGCTTAACTTTGGACACAGGTCTCCCTTCAGCAGAGTTCTCTGCTGAGGTCCACGATGCAACAGGTGGCTTCCTCTTGTGCAGCCTGGAATAAGTTGTCTGCACACGCTCCATAGTTAAATGTCTCCCCACACCTGTTCCCCATGAGTCTGGTGCTTCTTCAGGCAGTCCTCTGAAACCAGTGCCCCTCCTGTTGCTTACAACCCAGCATGAGAGTTCCCTTTTCCCAGCTCAAACAGGGAACTTCCCCATTGTTTTTTTTTTCCCCAGGTCCCCGACCAAGCCACTCAAGCTCGCCTAGCCTGAACAGGGGTTTCCTTTAACAAGTCTCTGACCCGACAGCTTTTCCCAATGCCCAGCTGGCTTACTAACCCTTTCCTACTCCTTCCCTGGATATCTGTGTCCCTGAGGGCACAGTTGCAACCCAGTGAGGAAACAGTTTCTCCTGGGATGACTCAGACTCTCCCCTGTCCTGAACTCTGCTCCCTGGCATGACACAGCTCTGTTCCTTCTGCCTGGGGGAAAGGAGGGGGCTGAGTCGCTGTCCCTATCTCCAGGCTCAGATTTTTCTCTCTCTCCCTGGTGTTCTTCCCTCAACTTTTTATGGCTCCATAGTAGGCAATCAGAGTCTGGGTTTTGCGATGGGGGACTCTGGCTGCAGTTTAAATGCACCAGTAAAAAGCAGGAAGATCACACATCAACTGCTGAAACTTCCTTAGCCTGACAAATGTTTTTTGAACCCGAAAGCTTGCTTAAAAATTGTTCTCCAACTATTTAAGTTGGTCTAATAAAAGATATCAGGTTCACCCAAAGAACCTTGTCTACCAGTAAAAGCATGCATTTTGCACAGCACATCCTCCGTTTGGAAAGCTGTGCACCCTCTGCAAACTTTTTGCTGCCTCTCTCTGCAAAGTCCTGAGGCATGGCTCATCTATTCAGTTTGCAGCCAAGCAAAACTCTGCAGCTGTTATAGTAATACTATCTCTTTTAATTCTTGCATATCCCTGTCATAATAAACCCATGACAATGTTTTGGACCCACAGTTGAGTCTGGACATATGAAAATGACAATGCTGTATTCTTCTGTAGCTAATGAACTGTTTTCAGCGAAATGATGTCGTCTAATTAATTCAATTCTCTCCACTTAGGGAGTATCTGCTGTGAACCACTCTTGGTATGAGACCTTAGAAAGTGCAGTTGTGATGAGGGCTTTTAAGCTTTGAATTTCATGAGTTACCTGTGAAACTTACTAGCCAGGGTCTCTATCCGCAAAGTTGAGCGGATAAGCATAAGCATGTGCCCATGCTTATGCCACTGATTGCACATGGTAAATCTCTCCTTTTCCTCACTCTGTGCAATGACCTCTGTATTTTTTGTACCCAATTAGACCATCCTAATTTTAGGGTCTAATAAATTTACCCCATTTCTTATTTAACCAATTCAAATTTATGTGATCAAGATACATTTCAATTTTTCTTAAGGCTCTCACTGGCTCGGTGATTAAAGTTGAT